TACAGTCAAGGTCGATTGGATGGTGATTCTGCTCAGATGTCTTTCGGATACTAGGACGTCGTTTAAAATCTTCTCGGCTATTAGCACTTGGATAAATACCATAGGAGGGTCCCATTGAGATCGAGGCAAAAGGTAGGGCAACGGTTGAGGCCTCAGGGACAGAAGTGCAGGCAGTGGAATCTTGGCTTCTCACGATTTGCTCGTTAGAAGAGCCACTATCGACTTGGTGAGGATTCGTTAGTTGTTGATGCTGATGGGTGTGATTTGGGTGATTAAGGCGGTTATGATAAGGCTGGTGAAGGCTAGTATTGTGATGTTGCAGCAATGTAGAGATGGGAATGGAAGGTGACTGTATCAAGGTTGGTGATGGTGAAATCGAGGAAGGTACTGTATGCAGAATGGATGAAGAGGATGATGCAGCATCATATATGGAAGGAGCTTGCATCTGCATGCTAACAGGTGTAGAAGACTGAACTTGTGGGTGCATTACCATCAGGTCGAATTGCAGATGAGAGTGTTGTTGATTTTGATGATGTTGGCTCATGCGATGTGTAAGAGGTTGGTTAAGATGTTGAGGGGAGAGAAGGCGGCAAGTCGTAATCGCAGATTGGGTAGCGTTAACGTTGAAATGAGGATTTGAGGCTGAAATAGATGGAGTAGTCGGGAGGCCAACAGCAAGGCCTGCAGTAGCAACAAGATCAAAGTGGCTGCAAGGTAAATTAGCGATCGCTGAGGGCGAGGGGGAAGCAGCCAGAACAGAACTGGCCGACCCAGGATTTGACGATGCGTGAAGGGTGATACTGGATGAAGAGGAAGAGGAAGATGTTGAAGATGAACTGGCCAAAGAGATTACGGAAGAAAGATTCGCACAAGCGGAAGTAGAGGCTAGTAAGATTGAGGGACTGAGCTGACCGACACGAGAGCCAACACAACTTGGTGGCATGTCCGTCTCAATGACGTTATCACTTAGAAGCGATTTCCCGACATTAGCAGAAAAACTTGGCAAACCAACAGAGAGGTCGGCGATGAAGGGGCCTGTAGAAGATGTCCTGGAAAGAATAGCAGGTTGGGAGGAGTGAGAAAGAGCCACACTGGATGAGACGTATGTTGGCGAGGCCGTATCAGTTGAGGTGGCAGCGAGAGAAGGCAAAGTGAGGTTGGATGGGCTGGTCGAATGACAAGTTAACCAACTATTAAAGGAGTAAATAATAATAGAAAAATAGGCCTAGAATAAGAGACATAAGAAACAAGGAATATTGAAGAAATCGGCACGTGATAAAAGAATCCTAAATATGAAGAAAAAAATAAGCTTTTTTAAGTAAATATATATGAAATAATGCTAGTAACTTAGATATTAGGTGATTTAGAAACAAGAATGTGAACAGTTGAGAGAAGCCAAGCATAAATATTCTAGTTTGTTTGAATTCTTTTGTAAATAAGGCACGATTGTTACTGGGTGACATCAGGTCTTAAAGAATAAGCCAAATGAAGAAATAAATATAACTCGAAATCTTGACAGGATCCATGCAAAGTAGATTAGTAAAACGAAAATACTTTCCAAAGGCCACATAGTTTAAGGCAAGTGTGTGCATATTTGTGCATCCAAACTTTTTAGATTCACACCTTACTTCTGAGGTGCAGTTAACAATAAAAATGTATGCCTGCATTTGGGCTGAAGGTCACCATATCAAAAATAGCAGCAAAGCCAATTGTTTGCTTTCAAAACAAACCGAGCACTTTCCTACGTAAATTCAGATACTCTTATATGAGTTTATAGAATAGCATAAAAAATAGATGCACATTTAATCGTCCGGTGAGACACAAGGCAGTTTGGTAGCGTGATATACTAACTATAAAAAAAATGTGTACAGCAGTGCTTCTTCAAGAATCCATTCCATGTCAAGAGCACCAAGAAATGACATTTATGGTGCTATACACAGGGGATAGAAAGGGAGACTTAAGTGAAAGACTCAACAATAACTTCGATTCTTAATCCAGCAACTCATTCCGGCTTAATAGTAGCTTCTACTCTAAATATATTTGATCATTAATCCTCTTGCAGCCGCAAAGCAACTAGAGCTGCTAAGAAGTTTCACATAGTCCCTAAATAATTCATGTTTATATCTCATTTTTAAGAAGTTTTCATTAAAAGTGCGAGGCTTCATATGCACTGCCCATAAAGTTGAGCCATCTTTGCAGTGCGGCAAGCCCTTCCACTACTATTTTATTTAATAAGAACTTCATGGTAGAAATGGAAACGTATTGCTTCAAATAGCTTCTGTTCACTGAAACTTAAATCCTGCTGACTGCGACTATGTCTTATTTGACGCCCTCGCACAGGTAAAAGAAGGGACTTCAAGCAATTTCTGGTCTTGGAAGGGTAAGCCTCTAGTAATAAGCAAAATAATCATTAGTGATCTTAAGTTGACAAACATCATCACTGTTTTCAATATACAGAACAATGTATCCTCATAGGGCTGGTGAGATCTGACGATTATGTAACATGTAATCTGAAAATAAGCAAGACAACCATGCAATAGGAAAAAAATGTATCGATGTATGAGAAATCTCCAATTTAAGCAGTAAATGACTTAATTTATAAATCTAAAAAGGCAACAAATGAATTAAATACGAAAAGTCTAATAAAAGTTTTGAAAGAAATTTCAGAATAGGTATACGTGTCCTTTTGATGGATCCTCATGGTTTCTGAGCTAATTATTAATCCTGAC